TCTTGGGATAAGAAAGTTACACATAAATATAGAAGACAACAATGTCCACTTTATTCTGTTATATCTTATACAAGTATCTTTAGAATTTCTGAGATGTCTCAAGAGTGCAAAATCAAGTACAAGTATATTTCTAATAAGGAAAATAGTAGAATTTTTATTTACATTTGTATTAAATACATGCAGTAAAGTTATATACACAGAATACCCCTTATTCACCGAGAACACTAGTAATACATACTCATTTTTAGTTAGCATCTTCGATGGTAATGTTAATCCAAAGTATATTAGCTAATTATGTGCAAATTCCTTCTTGTAAAAAATGAAACTTAAGAGTGTTACTTTCCCCAAAACTAATGAATATCTATATGTTAGTTTATATTTCTGTTATCACTACTAATAAAGAATCATCTGAATTATCAGAATCCTGTTCTAATATAACTATTGAACCATGACCCACTAGAACACACCTAGAGTATGCTTTGCTAATCTCTGAGGTGTTTCTTAATTTAATGAAGTTCACAGGTCAGGATGAATCAATCCATACCTTGTCAACTTCACACTGGAACACATCTCCTTAAACCGTAGTATACCTCCCAAAAAAGACAATAGAAAGTTGATAATTCTACTAACATAATACAACTATCCTGTGCACAACTATAAATACAATAATCTCTTTCCCAAAGTCTCAAAATTTCCAATATTTCCAAGAGTCCAAGTATCTTCAGAGACTCAAGGTGAACTCTTAGTCATGAACTCTGTAAAAATAATAATAATTAAAATAAAACAAGTTACATAATCCTAGGGTACAATGGTTCAATATAAATATTCTTATTCTAAAAGATAGTATAATGGGGTAAACGTCTAAGTCTGATATCCAGGGCACATGGTGGTGCAGTCATAAGTTTCAGTGAACTTGAGAATCCCAACTTATGGCTTTGTTCTACCCCGTACAGCCTTGTTCTCTTGGGCAGTGCCACTCAGGCTTCGACTGTCTTCAGGCAAAGCTGCATGTTCCTTGCACGTGCCTACCTGAGGTCTCTGCTGCATTGTTATGGCTTCACATTCTGTCCTCTCCAGGAGCTCCTGGCCTGTCCTCCCAGGCCTTCCTGACCTCACAAATGTTACATTTGTATGCCAGTAAAACAAACATCACATATACAATATCAAGGTTGGCTGTCAGCTTAGGCAGTACCTGAGCCCCCTAGACCATGGCTGCAGCAGCCTCTGAATGTCTGGACGGCTGAGTATGGTGAATTAATCCCTTATTGAACAGGACTCCCACGGGCTCTCTTTCAAATTAAAAGTTGGCACTTCCCAGCTCTTGATTCTGAAATACTTGCGGTCTTGTTGATTCTTGAGACACCCCAAAGCATATTTCTCCTTGCCTCTTTACAATGTACTTGGCTTCTTTTTAATGGCAAGAATCTCTTCATTTATCACACCTTCACCTTTACACAGGGCTTCTCCTAGGCCAAAATTTAAGTTTTCAAAATGTTCTATGCTGCTTTTATTAACAATCCTCACTCTAAATCTGACTAAAACAGCAGTAGTTCCCATACCACAACTCTGAAATTTCATCCACCATATTAATTAGTCCACTGCCCTTCATCTCAGTCTCCTGTGAAATCTCAGGACCTGGGCACAACAGAGGCAAATTTTCTACCAGAATGAAATACATACGCCCTCTGGTTCAACGGCTGACAGAGCCCTTCTCTCCAGAGGAAAACTCCAGAGCCTGGTTCATACTGTCCGCATCTCTATCAGCATCCTGGTCTTCTGAACCCTGACCAGAGTCACCCCTCAGGCTCTGCTTACCGCTTTATCAGGCTTCACTAATCAGCATTTCTAAATATTCCCACCCCTTCCTGCAAACATTTCCAAAAGCTTCTAAACCACATTGTTAGGCATAGTGACGGCCACAACCCCACTTCTCTGGTACCAAGTGTCTGTATTCCTTAGCTTTTCTCTCCTTGAAACACAGTATCCATCACCCACAACCTAAGGAAGGGTTTAATTCAGCTTACAGTTTCATGGGATTCAGGCAATGATCAGCAGGCACCGCGGAAGAGCGTTATGCTGGCAGAGCTTGAATAAGCAAAGCTGCTAGGTTCTTGTTGACTGGGGAGCACAACACAGGCACAGTACCAGAGGAAACGGGCGAAGGGCCATGTGTTACACCAGTGCCACAGCTCCATGGCCAATCCAGACACACCTGGAAGTGTGTTGCATTTGCTCAGTGTTTCTTAACTGAATGAAGTTGACACATCAGTGTCCATGGATAGAGCAACGCTAATGTGGACTTTGTAAGACTTGAATAAGCCATTTGTCCAAGGCCAATGACAGACAGCTGTAATATTTAAAATGATTTAAACTACTTGCATTGTTTCATCAAGTGATAAGATATCTAAGGCAGGTTTTAACTTTTCCCATTCTGTTTCTGTTTCTACACTATTGCTCTTGGCCCATATAAAACAAAACTAAATGCCTCACTTGAAAATAAGGAGATGAAATAGGAATCTGAAATGGTGTAAACTTTAAGGAGAAAGACACTAATATGAAAAAGAGGCAGAAAACAAAAATCTTTTTTGCATATCACATTTATCATATTTTAAGACCAAGCCAAAATTTGGCAATAAAAGAATTTGAAGAATACACAAATAAATCAAAGGTATTCTGTTGTTCATGAACTGAAGCTTCAATATTGTTAAAACATCTATAGATTCAATATAATTCCTGTCAAAATAGTAATGACATTCTTAATTCCACTTGTTTTTTGTCTTATTTGTTTGTTCATTTGTTTGTTTTTTGAGACTAGGAATCAAACTCAGGACTTGAACTTGCCAGCAGGCACTTGTGCTGCTGAACTATATTCCTGGCAATAACATACTTCATATGAATAGAAAAAAGACACATAATTCATAGATAGGCATAAAAATCTAAATATACAAAATTCTTGAGCAAAAAGAGAACAAAGGCACCACACTACCTGACTCCAGATAATGATTAAAACAGCACGAAACTTGCATAGGGACACATTGACAGACAGATTTGCATAGAGAGAGTGCTCAGAAAAAAACCTAGATAATTATAATCAACCGACTTTTGGAAAAGCTCATATCATGGAGGAAGAATAACTTCTTGGATAAGGTGTAAAGAATGGATATCCACAAGCAGAAGAGAGGAACTGGAGCCCTGTCTCTCACTACATACTTTTAAAAAGTCAGTGCAAAATGGATTTAATACTTAAACAAAAGACATGATACCATGAAACTGCTAGAACAATGCTTGGGAAAATCTCTATGACATTGCTCTGTGTAATATTTTTAATATTACCCAAGCACAAGAAATAAGAGCAAAGAATAAAGTTGCATCAAAACAAAACAAAAAAAAAAAAGATTTCTGCACAAGTAGTTAAGCAATTGACAGAACGAAGACAAAACTTACAGAATGGAGAATCATCAGCAAAATATACATCTAATATGGAAATATATAAGAAACTCAAAGAGCTTAATAGCAAAAAATGAGTAAATAAGTAACCCAGCTCAAAAATAGGTAAAAATCCTGAACTGGTATTTCTTATAAGAAAGCGTATAAATGATAAAGATGTGTGTGAAAACCTTCTCGACATCATTAATCATCAGGAAAATGCAAAACACGGTGACATATCAGTTCACTCTTCTTAGAGTGGTTGTGACAAAAAGGACACAAAGATACCCAGGTTGGCAAGGGCACAGAGAAAATAGAATCCTTGCATACTGTTGATAGCAAAGTAAATTAGTCCAGTCACTATAGGAAAAAATCTCGAGGTTCCTCAAAACATAAGCATTAGGACTCCCATATGATCCATTGATATATATATGTATATATATATATATATATATATATATATATAACTCATATATACATACATACATATATATAACTGTATATATGCTATATATATGGAAATGTTAATATATGTACATACATACATGTCGAGAATGGAAATGAACTCAATACAAATGTGGAAGAAATAGTTGGACTCCTACCATTACTGCAGTAAAATTCACCATAGCCAAAGTTTGGAACCAACATAAATAAATGTCCATCAAGAGACGAATGGATACAGAAGCTGCGATGTGTAAGTACAGTGGCAGGCTATCCTATCCGGCTGTAAAATCCCTGAGTCTGTGGGCCTGCGGCTGAGGAAGGAGGACCCTGTGCTGAGCTCCGTAAGCCGGCCGCAGACAGTCAGCTGCTGCACTGCCTCATTCTGTGCATGGAATCCTAACACGTGGAGATCATCTGAAAGAGAGTGGAGAACCGTGGTGGCCAGAGACGGGAGAAGTTAGAAGGGGATCGTGAGGAGTTCTTCAAGGAATGCAGAATTACTGTTTGGTGGAGTAGTAAGCATGGGAAATATCATCTAACATGGTGTGGTGGCTCCAGCTAATGGTGCTACTTTGTGATCTTGAAAAAGTTTAAGAGAATGGGTAATTGTGTTTACCATGAAAAGCATGACTAGGTGAAAAACTACACGTTAATTAACTAGATTTCCTCATTGGGCTTGTATGCACGCAAACTTCCAAATACCGCATGGCACATGCCAGTTACACGCAACTGTGACAACTTAATAAAACTGAAAATTCAAAGGTGGAGAGAATCACGCACTGGGCTCCGACAGGGCTCCGACACACTGCACTTATTATGCTGTTCGTGCTTAAGAAATGCATTTGAAACTGCAGAATGCAGGGCACTAAATGATTGGCGAAGCTTTACTTCCTCTACTGACTTCTCCAATTCCCACTTCTTTACAAATGTAAGAAATTACCAAGGACATGATTAGCACGAGGGTTGTTAATGGTTCCATTGATTTTGAATCTATAAATTATTGAAATACATTGCATTTTCTTTAATCTTAAACTGGAACCCCTAAATGAGTATTCTTTAAAACTTATAAACAGGAAAATCTACTGCTTACAATCTTAAAAAAGGTAAGAGTAGAGGTGAATGCTTCTCACCAATTTCAATTATGTAGGTAATACATGAGCTGTCTTCAGGTGTCCTGCAGTGCATGTACGCTTCAAAGCATCACATTGTACATGCTTCAAATATTTACATTTATATCAGCTGCAAAAACCAAAGTTTTAAAAAGTAAACAAAAATGCTGTAAAACAAAAATGTCAGATTATTCCATCTATTTCAGGAGGAAAGCAAAGTTTAGCTGGCACGGTATAAAAACCACACGTGTCATTAGTTCCTGCTGTGGCTGCGGGTTAGGTCCCTTCCTGAGTCCGTGTGCCCCTGAGTAAAGCTGTGGGACGGTGATGAGGTTGTGGGACTGCTGAGCTGTCTTGCTGTTAGGCGGCAGGGTTAGGTCAGAAGAAGCAGGTGACAGAAGAAGCAGGTAGCCTGAAGAGCTCTTCCTCTTCCTCCTCTTCCTCCTCCTCCTCCTCTTTCTCCTCTACCTCCTCCTCCTCCTCCTGCTGTCCTGCTGCCCTCTCTTGGACTCAGCCACCTGTGGATCTAAATGTGAGCAGAACAACCCTCTCCTCCTTGAAGCCTGGGTGTCGCATACTGTGTCTCACTAACGAGAAAGAGACTAAGATAATTCCACTGACATGCACATTTTTCGGAAACATGCTGACTTAAAATAATTCTCAATTCTCCCATGATTCCACAGTCTGATTATGAAGCTACTTCTCTGTATAATAAGTGGGAAGACCCTTTTGTTTTTAAAAAGTAACTTTCAATAAATAAAATTAAAATTCTATTCCATTTTGGTTCACGTCTGCTGATGGAATTTGCATAACAAATTGATTTTTATGGTGTGAGACCAACAAAAGGGTGAATTCCCTAAACAATTTGGGGGTAATGTACTTATTACATGCAGATTGGTCTCTTCTGGTGGTTCTTATTATCATCACATTCCTGACAAAACAGACATGAAATTTTGAATTTCTTTACCCACTTGTGTTGGCCAGGCCATATAGGAGTTAGGGAGAAACTACAAAGGAACTTTAATCTCATTTAAATAGGAATCAAAGTTGTGGAAACTGGATTTTATATACAGACATTTCATGAAATAATGAAGAACTGTAGCATGAGAAATAGACAAACAGCCCAGCAGCAGGGTTGGCCCGGTTCTATCAGGTGTGCCTTGGAATTTCCAGACAGCATCCGGCACTCCCAGCTAGGCATCTGTGTTCTCCTGCTGACCACAAATGATTTCATACACCATTAGCATTAGACAAGAACCCTTGAAGGAAATCAATATATTTCAAGAGGAAACAAGATCACACAGCCGTCAAATGTGAATACAGAACAGGAAGGTGCCCAGCCACACATACCCTGCACCCCTTTCCTACCCGGTGGGGCTGCTACCTCATTATCAATTAGAGCTTACCCTCCATCTAATCTTCCCATGTCCTCGATAAGAAGACACACAGTCATCAAGTTACCTTACCTGGGCTCCTGCCAACATCTGACTCACAGTAAACCCCCAATTTCTTCAACTACCCTCCCCCTACGTTGGCCAAACTGAAGAACCAAAGTCCAAAAGCAGAATCTGTTTTGGTAAACGTACTGTGTCAACTCGAGAAGTTTAGAAATGTAACTGAGAGACTTAGCAGGGAGCCAGGGTTCCTACTTTGTAAACATCCTCATCCTGTTTAAAGGAGGGTAAGGCGAATTTGTGGGTGCTACACCCACCCAGAAGGTGGAGCGGTGGGATGGCCTGTGTACCTATAAGTGAGGAGAAGAGGCGTGTTTTTCCCTTTTGCTCTGGCTGCTGCCTTGAAGTGTTGCCCCAGTGCCAGGCCTCCCTGCCTTGGAACCAGCTGATTATGGACTGAAACCTCCTCAAACTGTAAGCTAAATAAACCTTTTCTTCTCTAATTTTGGGTGTTAGGTATTTTGTTATCAGCAAGGAGAGAAAAGTAACCAAGACAGGTGTATTTGGGTCACAGGTGTATTTGTATTGGGTCACCCGCAGTTCCCATGGCTCTCTTCTCTGTCTACAATGACTAAGGAACTAAATTCATTCACTGATGAGCTCCTCATGCTTCCATTCAAGATGTGTTGAGATTGGCATTAGCCAGGCACCTCCAAAATTGACTCCAAATACGGAGTATTGATGGGCGGCTCTGACATGTGGTGTAGCCCCTTCTCAGAACTGTCAACAAGACTAAACAGACTTCAGAGAGCTTCAGGGTGCCATGTTGCAGAGGAGCAAGAGCTGTTATGGGGAGGGGGTTCAGAAAAATGGCAATGGACTAAAACATTGCCCCCGAGACCTGTGTCAAGTAGAGAGGGGAGAGCATCTGGGATGAGGAGCAGAACCAGGGCCCCGGTGAGGGGCAGGTCACCTGCTCCAGGGCCAGACGCACCCACGGGTGTCATCATAAAACTCTTGATGAGAGATCATTTTCAAAAGAAGGTGGAAATTCTGAGGACTGGATAATCAAAACTTCACCAAGGGGCACATTTTGGCCACTCCACTGAAGACATTATCCTGTTCTTACAGCTCCAAAGTAGGACATAAGGAAAACATACTGTAATTCAGGAGCTGAGATCCCCAAACTTAATCACTAAGAACAAAGTGAAATACAAATTTTCAATGACTTCTTTAAAGGGATTCATGAACTCTACTGATGGGAGCAAAATCCTAATTAGTGAGTTGGGAAGTACAGACCTACGTGGAGATTTGAAAAACTGGAGTAAATAAAAATCACAATAATAATGAGGATGATAAATACACAGTACAGCAGTGAAGAATCCCTCAGGCATCACAAGCAGCGAGCGAAACACTTTTGGTTATTCTCGTGTTCCCCGCACTTGAGAATCACTGTGCTGAGCTGATTTAATCAGCTGTAGAAGCACAGCTGTGCTCTCGCCCACAATTCTTCTCATCCAGGTTCCCGCAGGCCCTTGCTGGTCCTCATTTCCCCGGAGAAGGAAGTTTTTAAGAAGGACCTGCCACTCTGAGCTCGCTTCTCCCTGCAGCGCGTCCTTCCCTAATCTTCTCTTGCCCTCAACCCTTTGCCCACATGGCAGCACTGCCAGCCCCGTGCTGTGGCCTGACCCTTCTGGCCTGTCTGTCACCAACAGATTAACACCCAGACTCTGGTGCCCTCCCTCATGTCTCCAGGCTCTGAGAGGATCTTTTTCCCCTGCCACACTCTTTTGTGTTGCAATCTGCAGATTTCATTTGAAGTTGCTTTCCTCTTACACTTTGAATCACGAAGTTGGTTTTTGATTTATTTATACTTGCATTGACTCAGCAACAACAGTGATGTGTTATTTATCTGCAGCCTCTAGGGGAACACCATAAAATAAATTCCTCAAGGAGTTTTATTCTGGGCTTTTAATTAGGACAAAGTGTGAAGACCCACTAAAGAAACATGAGGACTGGTAACCCAGGTTCCTTCTCCACAAGGAGCTCACGGGATGAGGAGGGCAGACGGACAGACGAGGATCAGATGGGGTGACATTGACCCTTAGGCTGCCTGGAGAAGGGTGATTAGGAACAGTTGTGGAGGAGGTGACATTTTATCTGAGGACAGGGGAACACAGCTCTGGGGAAAGAGGCCAGGGTGGTGCACATGAGAGCAAAGGCACTTTGCCCAAAGGAGACTTAAGAAACCTCGGCATGAGAGGCCACATAGAGGGATCCGATCTTGTGGGTAAAGTTTTGGTGTCGTGTTTAGAACAGGGAAAATGACTAGAAACGTGGGCACAAAACATACCAGTAGATAAGCTACATTGCCTTCAATAAACAGGAATTCATTCTCCCGGAAGTTTATCTTTAAAACTCTGAAAGAGGACACGCAGATCTTTAGGGAGGGAATGTAGATAAAACACAGCTTTAGGAAACGGCCTGGCGTCATTGCGGCGAACAGAGCAAAGGGAAGGTCAGAGGAAGCCTGCTGAACTCATCTAGGCAGGAGGTTGTATTGTTCGCGTGAAGAAGTGGCTGCGGGGATTATCTCAGGAACATTTCACAGAGCCGAGGAGGAGACACTCAGGTGACGATGTGAATATCTATCCTGTAATATGTGGGAAATAAAGTAATCCAGAGTGAACCCCATGTTTCAGGCTTGAGTAGCAAGATGAAAGGAGGGTGTGTGTGTGAGTGTGTGCGTGAGTGTGAGGGCTGACTGGGACCAGGGCTGGAGACGGTAAGGTTACACCTGTCTTGGCTGAATGTTGCTGTCTTCCCTAACTAGCTGCAAGGCCCTGCACCAGTTGCTTAATCTCTCTGAGTGTGCCTACTCATTTGTGGAAGGAGGACACTACCACCTACTTGAACTTAAATGTAAGATTATATCGTCGCCATCCGATGTTACTATATGAAAGGCAGTTGTGTAAATGCTGCTATATTAACCTGCTTATTTTGACCAATTGCATTCTGAGGCAGATCTTTTATTATTCTTATTTTGCAGAGAGCGAATCGGGGACACGGGGACAATTGCTGACGTACCCAAGGCCACAGAGCTGGGGTATGGTAGATCATAGTTTCAGGTCAGTACCACCTAGCTATAAAAGCACACGTTAACCAATAATTTAAAAAAGCTTCTCATGAAACGCTAAGCACTTTGCATATTTATAATCAGAATGCTTTGCTGTAACCCAGTAGAGAAGAGGAAAAATATACAATCTATTCATTTAACAAAAGGGAATTTTCAGAAAATAAATGCATTTTACTAAACACTAAAATAGATTTAAGCATAGGAAGATGCTTATATTGTAATTTGAACATAAAAATATACATCATAGAAACAACATAATGACAAGGCTGTGTGTTAAAAGGGATTAGACAATCTCCAGTCAAGATGGGTGTGAATTTTACCAGCAGGCATAGAGATTTTTGGGTCCAAAACTGAAGAGAACACTGGGTAATGTGATACATACATTGGGGGTCTCCAATGTACAGATTATAGGTGAAGCCATAAAAACGGGAAGGATGGCTTGGGAGACAGAGTTTGCGGTGGAGGTAAAACCTCAAATCTGCAGAAAGGGAAACCAAGTTTGCACTCTGGTGTGCACGGGGTAAACACTCCACTTCACTTCAGTGATGCTCAGTGGCCTTTGTAAAATCCAGTGGGCCCTGGTGTAAGTGTTGGGAACTAGCTCTGCTTCTGATGCTTACGGTGTTTGCTGTAAAACCTGTGAGCATCATGGAAACTGTTAAAAGTCGATTTCCATCACTAAACATTGAAAACAAACCTGGCTTCATAGCTGTTACTCTGCCATGGCAAATAATTATTAAGTTCTTTTCTTTTTTAAAAAAGGCCATTCAGATGGTTTCAATTGCTTTTATTTATTCTACAGAATTTCAGTCTCAGAAATGTTCTGCCTGTTGCTATGTACAGAAGATCCACAGGGAGAGTCGGGAGACTAAGATGGCATGTGGGCTACTCCCGAGGAATATTAATGGCATGGAGAAGAGAATGGGAATGATTATAGTGAGCTTCCTTTCTGTTTGCTCCTGACATCAGGATTTGCCTCTTCTCTTGCTTAATCCTGGCTCCTAGCTTCATGTGGTAAAACAGAAGTTTTTGAACAATATTATGAGTAGAGTACCAGGACGTAATATGCAGAAGTTTGAAAGGCTGAAAGGGAAGAAGCTTTGCAGAGGTTCGCTGAGGTCCCAGAGGAACCAAGGCATAGGACAGGGGTGAAGGCTCCACCTGGGCCCCCAGCTGGCCCCAGCTCCAGCCCCAGAGAGGCTGAGGAGAAGGTGTACTAGCCTGACAAAGGGCAGCTGTAGTTTCCCCTAAAATAAAAAGCAGAGGTTCACACCCCCAGGGGGGGCCAGGAGCAGGGGCTCCTCAGGAGCACTGCACCTGCAGGAAGGCCATCCTGGGGAGCTTAGGGCAGGAGAGGGGCTCATTTCCGCTAACATCTTCCTTCTCCTCCTCCGAATATCACTCTCAGCTGTTTGGGCCATGTTTGGTCCACCAAGTTGACAGATCACTATTTCTGCCTGCAGGGGCTCCTGGGCAAAGGGTCCACAAAATTCAACATACATTTCCATCATCTACAATCACTAAAAGGTTTATTCCTGATGAACAGTATTCAGAACGATGACCTGTAAAGATCCTGCATCGTTAAAATGGTGATTATTTCTAACAGAGGAGAAACAGCAGAGACTCCCTAGAGCATGGATGAGGAACCTTTCAGAGCTTTCAGTGATAATAAGCAGCCCACTGTGGCACACGTGCCATAGGTTCCCCACCACTGCCCTAGAGCCTGCCAGTGAGGTCCAGTCAGTGCTCCCTACGTATCTTTGAATGACTCCCTGAGGAAACATGGACCCACAAGGCAGTGCCTTCATCAGGCATTGGTGTTGTAGAGCTCAGGATCTCTGCTGTTTTACATTCCTGGATGTTAAACCCAGAAACTTGCTCATGCTAGGCACGCATGGTGTATGTCTAGCCCTTTTTTATTTTGAGACAGTTTCTCATTTCATGGCTCAAGCTGGCCTTGCATTTGCAAACCTTTTGCCTCAGCCTCTTTCAAGTAGCTAGGATCATAGGCACTGACTACCACATGGGTTGAGTTTTAAAGATTCCTTGATTAAAAAAAAAAAGTCTAGTTAACTTAGTAAAATTATTTTGTCTGATCTAAAAATATACTATACTTCATGTTTTATGCTAAGAAACACAGTATTGAGTGAACCAATACATGATAATGAGCCAATTTCTATAATTCCCAGAATGAGCTACAAGGACCCCCACGATGGCACCTGGTCCATTCAAATGGGGTAACAATGAAGTTCCAGAATAGGACAGCATCGGTCTCTAAATGAATTTAAATTAAACTGAATTCGTCATTAAATATCTTTTAATATATTTTAATATATGACTAATATATTTTTTCATTTCTTAAAATACACCATGAGAAAGGTGTATTTACATCTGGAAGACAGGGAGAAGACACAGGGTAAGAGATCAAGCTAATACTTGTGCTTATGTAGGTTTAAACTGCACAGTGGAGGACAGAGGCTCCTTTCCCAAGAGCACACTGTGGAGCTGGCAGCACACATAGCCAGCCTGACCTCCAGGCCCCTACTCACTGTGAGCCAATTTTGTGTCATTTCCTCCTCTGTACAAGTGTTTCTGTGACAAAGGTCTCTGGGTGTGTTGCAAAACATCTTCAACTGTTTAGCAGGGTGCTGCACCAAGCATCCACGTAAAAGTGCTACAGCTTCCCTGTGTGGCTTCATTTGTCAGCAGACACAGCACAGAATTTGCCTTCTCTTTCTCCTTAAAGAAAGGACTAGAACGTTGATTGTGAATCCATGGCCTGTTAACACCCATTTGTAAAATAAAAAGGCTCAGCCAATTTGTTTTACTTCTACACAGAAGCAACAAAACTATTTACCAGATGATATTCTTTATGTATTCACTGTGCCCTTATAGTTCCAAATGATTTCCTTTTCCTGGGGAACCATTGATTGTTCCTGTGCAAGGGAATCGCTTAGCCAACACTGGGACTCCAGGCCCCTGCCACAAGACCTGCTTTCTAGTCCTGGTCCACTGCGTCCAGGTGGAGCTGGAGGGGTGACACCCTGAAATTGTCACTGAAGAAGCAGTCTTTAGAAAACCACTACTATTTTCTTTTTGCACTCATTTTGTAGCATTCCTTCTTAATTTCAAAATCTTGTGATTAAAAAAACAAAGCCCTGTTACTGTGAAGGTTAGTTCGTGAATACTAAGTGTGTCAGATGAAATCCCTCAATATTATTCTCAACAGGAAATTCGTACCCAGAGGCCAGCGAGCCAAGGTCACAGGGGCATAGGACAGGATTGCTCTGCTGCGGGGAAAAGGTCCTCTCACTTAATGTTCCCACTCTGCAACCTTAAACCCTTTGCCACTGGTTTGTCAGCACTGAAACGCCTTTTCTTAAAAGTGTGCTTTGTGTTACCAGACAACAGTTCTTCCGAGTTCAGGAGCTTATCTTTTTTCCCAGGTGAAAATTGTTTTATTTTTCTCAGGTGTCTGCTTTCTTAAACTCTTAGAACAATTACTTTCAAAATTGTCTTGGTCCTTTACAAAAGGCTCAGATTCCAGATAATTGGTGTTTGTGTAGCACGGCATTTGGTAATATTTCTCCATTTCCTCTCCACCCCCACCGCATCGGGATTACAGGAGTCTCAGATCCCAACCTGAAAACCTGCTTTTATTGCTTAGGTCTACCTGGGAAAAAATCAGTCCAGATTTCAGTCCACATTCCACCTGACTCCTGAGTTCTCATGCAAAGCAGGACAAGGAGCTGGCACTTTTATAAGTTGGGCAGAACAATTTCCCCAGACCTGCACGGCACTGGAAAATCATACTCCAAATAACAAAACCCGGCGGTCTTCATGAAAAGTAAAGAAACCCATGTGATTCCCACTTCTCTTTGCAGAATGGCAAGAAAGTCAGTGAACTGGTGTCTCATACAAGCAATAAATCTTGTGTCTGAAATAGTACGTCCTTTAGTTTACTTTCTGGATGAGAAACTACTGCAGAATTGTTTGCAGTGATTAAGGTTCCCTATATCCATGCGTGAAATACAGCATTCGAAAGCTCTGCTATGTAATAAATGTCTCACCTCCTCACAATAATATTTGATGCCCCTAACAAATGAACTGTCCATGATCACCAATTATCAATAAACTTTAGATATGGAAAAATATTTTTTCTAACAATTAAATTTTTAAAGGGATTGGATATTTCTATTTCCCTTCCAAATATAATTGCCAGTCATAACAACAGGCAACAAACACTTGCAGAGAACCATAATCAAAGGTCACTCAGCGTCTACTCTAATTTTAAAAATGACTTTTCAAGCTTGAAAAAATCTAAGGGGTCAGGATTTTAGGTTATTCTTTTTAAAAGATTATTACTCAAAAAGACTTATGAAAAGATAAACAGAAATTAAAGTATAATATGAAAAAAATCTAGGATATGACAGATCAATCTAGAAAATAAAAAGGAATACATCCTCAACTAAACTTAATGAAATTTTCAGCTTTTCTGATTTTAAGTAAAAGATATAACATGTACAAACAAGAATTTCAAAGGAAGAATTTAGAGACTTGCAGAAAGACTCAATTTAAAAGCTAAAAGCCAAATTTCTTTATCTACCTCATTGCAAGCTTATAAACATGTTAAAAGTAGCATCACAGATTTAATCATTCTCCCACAAAGCATTTGTCATCTTAGAGAGGTGAAAAGCAGGGACTGTTGGTTAGTAGGTGGTAGACCATCAACTGTAAAGACACACACAGCCACACTTCTAAACAAAAAGAATTCTGCTCACCAGCTTCTAGAAGAGCATGCTCACCCACACGTAGGAGCTCAAGACTGGCTTCAAGAGACTGCTGGAGGAGACCAAGAAAGTAAACACATGATTTGTACAGCACGGCACAGCGGATAAGAGCCCAGAAAGGAGCACAGGGTCTCAGCCATTCATTTGTCAGCAAGGTTATCCTGCCATGTGCGAGCCATTCACATCCTGAGCGTTCCAGGGCTCTCAACGCATGCCTCACAGGAGATAAATATAGAGCCTGACACCTGAGCCAAGTGCAGTGAAAGTTAACTTGAAAAATCACACTTGTGTGTCTAGGGGAGGCAAATAAAGCCCCGGTCCTCTCCGTGCTGGACCTGGTGCGCCCCTTCAGAGACAGTTTCTGTGCTAATGAAGCAAGGAGATGCACACAGTCAGATCAAGCACGAATGCTCGCCTCTCTCCAGGGCTACCCTTTGCTCTGACAGTGCACACTGCTCAGGTCTCTTTGCCGCTGACGTGGACAGCAGCACAATAGTGAGAGTATTAGCAGTATCATTTAGCCAACTAACAGGTTTCTGCTTTGCACATGGTGACAGGTTAAGGTCCTGACATACAAATAAATATCAATTCAATAAGTTGTCTTCATACACTATTCCTCTCTGGTGTATTTTAGCAGCAGTTTTATCATTCACAATTTATTATAATTAAAGATGCAGAATGTGCCATGCACTGCCAGGGAGCTTAAGTTTAAATATCTGTTTTATTTGAATCTTTTGGCATAGCTGTATAATGCAGCTGATGCAGACTGGATTTTGCCTAATGCTACTGATAGACATATGAATAAAACTACCCTCAGACTGAATAAACTGTGATTAAAGTTATTGCTCTGAAAGGTAAGGACAAGATTCCTAATAATAAATCACCCACTAAGATGGTATACTAGAAATGTTTAATTCCATATAAAAACAAAACTAAGAAAATAAAAAACAGTTGTACTGCTCTCTCGATACTTCCAGATGTTCAATATTTACAATCAATATCTGTTGCATGAGAGATGTTAAAAGTACCACTTTTCAAATAAGACTTTTCTGCCAAGAATAGTATCCACCATCTCAGAAAAAAATATCTGTTTTATCAAGTGACCAAAGCCAGTGTTCTCATGGGTTAGAGCCTGTTAGGATGTGAGATCTATTAAGATCTCATGCACTGATCACTGCTGATGGGTCCAGCACTACATGATGTAAGCGTCACATGCCTTCAGTCTTGTCTCCTCACTCCAAAATACTCTTCCAAAACAGCCTCATCTGTGAAGCTCATTTGCCAGGAAAGAAAACTGAAACTTCAAGGATAAGACTGATTTGAGCACATAACTCATGAGTGGTCCAGCAGGACCATTTGCAACCCACACAATGTTAACTTGAAAGCAAGTTTTCTTCTCCACCCTGGAGCTGTCACAGATTAAGAACAAATTTCATCTTCCCTTGGATATGTCAGACTCACCATCCCCTGAGCAATTCCTGAGCTTTCTTTTTAACTTATTTTTTGCTTAAACGAAGTGAGGTAAGCTATAGACTTTCGAAGGGACTATTGCAGAAATTCCCAGAAGTACTGTACCCTAGCACGAAGACAGAAGCTCTATTAGACTACAGCTCTAGACGGGGATACTTCTTGTCTGGGACTCACACATGGCAAACTCTTATCGCCAGTTGTAGAAGTGGAGTTAGTCCTCCCAGAGCCTGGCGCATCACTCCTGATGATACAACTGCTCCTCTCAGACAGTCAGTAGTCTGAGTGGGGATGAGACCCCGGAGAACAGTGAGCGTGCTGGTCTCCTGCTCCATTCCCAGATGTGTGCTCCATGGGAGGTAGATGGAGATTCCCATGGGTAAATGCCACAGGTTTCCAAGTATTACAGAATACCACTCTTCAGTATAGACCAAAAGGTTTTGTGTGTATAAAGTTTTTGTTACTTGGACTAAAAACTCATTAAACAGTTTTATCAAAGAGGTAGAAAGACAAATGTCAACAATGCAGTGAACCAGGAGTTTAGTGACTGTGACAGAAAACCTCCAACATCCAAGGCTTCATCATGTCTGAGTGTGGATTACTCCCTGTGAGTAAGAAGAAGAGGACATGGTGAACTTCCTTTCTATCAAGTACGCGTGCACTGTTATAGAATGGTTCATTCATCACTGAGCATCAGCGTATGAGGAGGCACGGCACGGGCAGGGGATCGCAGCTATGGGTTGAGCTAAATGGCACCATGAGTCCATGGTAAGTACAGACAGGACCTCTGGTCTTCACCCCAGGGAGACCTCAGAAATTCTCTAGTTATCTTCCAAACTGAACATTTCCCTCCAGGATAGCAATAAGCCAAGGACTGGTTTTACCTGACTGGTTGCATTTTTAGTGACCCTAAGCTTTCGAAGGTGGCAGCAAAAAGACCTGGTCTGGCCTTGGCTGTGTTATGATCAGTGACACTTCAGCCTTGAGTATTGGACTTGGCTGGAGATGGAATGGCCCTCACAAGACGCAGCCACTGAATTTACCATTTCTGTTGGAAAACCTTTCCTCAGAGCAGCAGGGACATCATGGAACTTTTCAGGCATTTATCCCGAGATGGAGAATCCTTGGAAGCCTGCTGACATGTAGACACCCAAGATCGCATCTCAGTTATGTGCACAAAATAGAGCTCCAGGGAGAGATGGGGGAGAAAGATTGTAGAGAGGTCACGGTGGGTGAAAAAGCAGTCAGGCAGCCCTTGCCGGCTGGGAGGCAGCTTGACGTCAAACAGACTCAGCGAAAACGAAGGGGAAAAGGCAGGAATTTGAGAAATGTTCAGATGATCAAATCCAGAAGCTTTGGTCTCAGTAGTGTGTGAGAAATGAATTACAAATGTCTTCCCATCCATGCGGCCCCTCCAACCAGTCATTGGGGGCCTCAGCATGGACACACAGTCTTAGGATGAGAAATGGGGAGGCATCTCACCAGCAGGGCAGGCTCTGAAAAAGGATTTCCTGAATGAAAGAGGAGAGAGGTGAGCCAGCGAGAGACTGGAACTGAATCCAGCCCGGGCACGAGGGACCTTAGAGCCCACACTGGCTTCTGATCTGTGTCTGGATTCACCCAACCTCAGGCTGGAAGAATTTGGGAAAAATTTGCATCAGTACTGAACATGCTCAAATTATCACCTAAAATGCCATATTTCTGTAGCATTTATATTCTATTAGGGGTGTTTCAGCTCATCTCAGGGTGGTGCAAAGTCTGCAGGAGGATGCCTGTAAATTGTAAGTATTATATCTTCCAAAAGGTTCTTGCACACACTAGGACTTTTGTAGCCTTCAAGGGCCCCAGATCTAGCTCACTGGGGACACTGAGGTGAGTGTAAATCATGGGAAACTCTCCGTTTGGCAATCATGGGAAACTCTCACGAGGCTGTGACTTAGAACACGTGGTACCCAAGGTCACCCGGCAGGCTGCATCTAAGGAGATGCCATCTCTTCAAGGCACACGTACTGTAGAAAGCCAGGGGAAGGCCAGGACCGAATGCAGAAATTTTAAGCATGATTTAAAGAAATTTTGCAGTGGTTCTATGCCCACTTGGCTATGTGCAGGGAGCTCATAATCTAATGGAAACTTACGTCCCCCTGGACCAAGAGCAAATAATTTCCACAGGACATGCAGTCCCTCTCCCAGCATAACAAAACAGCAGGCTGGCGGCCAATTACGGTAGCAGCCAAGCACATGTCCCACACATTTGTACACCAGAGAGCCTGGCTTGGTTGTAATGATTATTTTCCATGGGGTAGCACTTTCTGTTTATAAAGCCGGTTTCAATGTTATCAGATAATTATCAGCAATAAACGCACAATTCTTAGGTACTTCCTTGCTAAGCATTGTGCAAAATGTTTGGTGAATCACAGCTCCCTTGTCCTCTCCTCAAGACAAACATGAAAAGATTAAAAGCACAGTCCCGAGTCAGCCTGAAGCTCTAGGAGTCAGACGCCAATCCCGAGACCACACCACCTGTGATCCTCTGTTTTTGCATCTTTTTCATATAAAGATCAAATACCTTCTCTCCTGCCTGAGAGAAAGTATTTCCTTCTTTCAGTCCTTATCCAGTTTGTTTGTTTGATTGATTGATTTACCTGAATTCTACATGCAGCTGTCTATCAGTGTCTAGGTTGATATATTCTTCTCTTCCTTGGTGATATTCTCTCTCTGTTTCCCCTGTATTCTCAGCTTATTTTGTACCCCTGCAGTTAATTCTAAGACCTACTTTTAGACCCCAAAATCCTATTCCAATAGCAAAATTTGCTTGAGTTTTTAAGAACTTTCTATAAACTAGTATAGTGATTATGATCTTGAGTATTTAATTCTTGCAATAATGCTAGTATTACCATTTTATGAATTAAATGGAACTTTAGAAAACTTTAGTATATGACTTTATTGTCACAGGTGCAGATCTGGAGTCAGTCACCTCCTGGAGTAATTGACTCACCATGGTGTGACCGTGTGCAGCCTCGGTGGGCAGCCCTGCCCAGATGCTCACCCATGGCACCCTTCTCTGTCTTGGGGTGTGCCCTGAGTGTGTCCTGTCTGTCTGTGTCACACTCTGTCCCCAGCCTGAATTGCCCCATACACCTGTCATTGCCCTGTCTGCACAGCTGCAGTGTCACTATAATGTCCCATGACACCTGTGTCTCTCATTCACCAGCTTAAAAGACTCAGTGTTCACTCTCTGCCCACTGGGACACCTGCCTGGACAAAGGCTCCTACCTGCTCCCCTCTTAGCTAACAGGGTAACGGGGATCACAGACTAGTGACCCCCAAAATTAGCCTTAGATTTATTGTTTTAAGAAGATATTAATCCTTATTGCCTGGATTGTAGGTTTTAAACTCTTTAGGCCAGTATTCAAGGCTGTCACATTTCTTTTCTCTTTCTGTAATAAGTCTGTTCTTCAAGCTAATGATCCCTGGAGTACCTCTCCCTGCCCAAATATTTCCTTTATCTAGAATTTTCAATTCTCTATCTGAAAGTTGCTCTCCAGATTCAATGTCTGTTCACAAAGTGTGGTCAGCTGAAGCTCTTTAAACATACCAGTCCAACTCGATGCAAATTTACGGGCACTTATACGTTTAAAAATCACATTATTGCTAGCCTAAGTCCATGTGATCATTTTGAATAAATGAAAGAAGTCACTTCTGGGTACATCACTGCAAGAAAATCACCATCCATACACA